AGACAACCTCTCGTCAATATGCGTTTTTCGCATTGCATTGCTGCAAAAAACGCATAAAAATATCAGTGGAAAAACTGCCGCGAAAGACTAGCGAGTGTAATAAATTCAGCAATTCGCGTAACCAATAACTGCAGCTTACATTGCTAAGTGTTTTTGTATGATTTATCAAGAAATGTTTTATGCCGAAGTCACGTACGTGTGACTGTTTGTATGTACGAGAACTGCAAAAGCCAGAAAGTAATTTTAGGAACAAAACTAGTAATTATACGCTTTGCATCACCTTTGTTTTCTTTGCGTTGATTTTTAATTACTGATCGTACGCAACTTCTCGAACGCTAGACGTGCATTATTTCTCGCTTACAGAAATCAAAATACGCGCGAAGGTGATTAGATGCAAACGAACTACCCCATTTGATACCAATCAAATGCACTGTTGACCAATAAAGTGAGGCTGAATTGGTTTTTACTGCTGTTTTAACTAGTTATGCGTTTTTGTATATATACAAATGCAAAAACGCGTATTGTGTAGACTCATGGTGTATATGTGCATATGTTGGAGTGTGTGCATACGTGTGTGTGTGTACGTGTGTGTGCGCGCCTGTATAGGTATTTCAACTCGGCGACCAAGAAAACTTCGGCGCTGAAATCCTGCCAGTGGTTTCCCCAGCCCAGGACCGCGACACAAACCTTCACGCATTTCTAATCCCTGCCTATAAGCACGTGAAAGTTTTGGTGGGAAAACTGCTAACTCAGCAACCAGAAAAGCTGAGGGGCTGAAATTTTAAGGGGATATCCCCCAACCACGTGCAAGTTAAATATTTCAAACTCAGCCCCCAGGTATGCGTGGTACTCGGCACGGGCACGTGAAAATTTTGCAGTAAAATTGCTAATTCGTAAACATGACAAGCTGGAAATCTGAAATTTTTACACCACACTCCCTGCCCAAGTACAGCTTAAAGATTCTGTATTCAAACCCTAGATTGCGTGGTTCTTACATAAAGGCTCCCAAAAGTTCTGGCGGGAAAATTACTCACTAATTCATTTCCTAACCCAGACAGAAGCACACCAGATTTGTTGGTGCAATCATGCGTTTTTGCACCAAACTTGAAGCAATTAAATCGTTAACTGCAAAAGTGGTTGTAGCGTTAGACCTATCTTGTGCACTCACTAGCGTAAATCATCGTAAATTTTGCAGAAAGAAAAATGAAGAAGTTTAACAGTCGTTCCTTAAAAATGACCTAGCTGTTCAGTGAACAATTCTGCCGCCAAAATTTTTAAATGTTCGTACGCGAGGAGCAAGCATACTTAGGGGCTGAATTAGAAATCTTTAAGTTATACTTGGACAGGGAAAATTACCCTAAAATTTTAACCCTCCGGTTTTTCTGGTTACCGATTTAGCAATTACTTGTCAAATCCTTCACGTACTCGCATGTGAGAATCACGAACATTTAGGGGCTGAATTTGAAATCTTTAGCTCAAGCACGCACAAGGAGTATCCCTGCAAATTTTCAACTCGTCTGTCCCACTTGGTTCTCGAGACTAACTCTGTGCTAGAAAGTTTACACATTTTTTTGAAGCGTCCGTAGGTGGGACCCAGGCGTGCGTAGATGAAAAAAAAACAGGATTTTCCGCAACTGGCGTGCACATAGTCACGAAGTTCCAGCTTCTTAGCTTTTCTGGTTCTCGAGTTGAAAGTGAGTGACAAAAAGCGCGAACATACAGACACACACACACACAGCTCATACAGACACAATTTGCGTTTTCGTATTTGCTTATATGCAAAAACGAATAAACTTAGTCGATAACGCACCGGCTGTCGGAGCGAAGATTCATTTTTGCACAGTTCCCCCGCAGATTTTTGTTGCTAATGGCATTGTTTTTTCCGGCAGATGCTTTTAGCTAAGAGAATTGAAAGTAGCCATCACGACTGTTGGAAATTATTACAATGACTCCCAATCCATGTCCAAAAAATTCAGCACTCTAGATGCTTCGGTTGCGGAGTTACTTCAGATTTTACGTGCTCATACGTGAGTGGCAACGCCAATGCTGCCTTCGCGTACGCTTGTTCAAACATGGTCCTGGGCCAAGCCCAAAAATTTCAGTACCCCAGCTGCTCTGGTTGCGGAGCTACGTCAAGTTTCACGTGTGTGCACGCGGGACGTACATAAAACATGAAGGGGACGTGAAAATCGTTTTTACGACCATCTGGCCAAAGGTCACCGTCGATCATGATCAAAAAGTTTCGGTCTCCCAGCTGCTTCAGTCCTGAAGCTACAAAAGTGCATGCGTAAAAATTTATGTGTCCGTACGTGAGATGCAGGGGGCTGGAAAGCTCAGTTTATTTTCACGCGCACAGCAGTGGGCGACAAGTATCGCTGCGAAACTGCAGCTCCCAACAACTGCTTAGTTAGCTTAAATCTGGGGTTGGCATGGTGCCAGTTTAAATTTTGACGTGTGCGTACGTCAGAACTAGGCGCGCGTGAAGGCTGAATTTGAAAACTTTGGATTAGACGCGGCCAAAGGACATCTCTGTGAAGTTTCAGCCTTCTAGCTTGCACCGTTTCCGAGGAGTTTTCTCGCCAGAAAAAGTTTCACGTGCCCATGCATGAGAACCACGCGGACATGAATGTCCACTTTGAGAACAGGAGCCCGCACGCATGCGTAGATTAAGTTACCAAAGTTTCAGCCTTGTAGCTTTTGTGGATCTCGAGATGAAAACTCGTTACAAACGCGCACGCAGACACACATACGTACATACACACAGACAACCCCTCAACAATATGCGTTTTTCTTACTGTACAGATGCTAACCCAGGCTGAAACGCACCGAGCGGAACAGTGCGATCATGCGTTTTCGCACCGGAATTGAAGTATTCAGGTCATTAACTGCATGAATGTTTGTTACTTTACACCTACCTTTTGCGATCACTAGCATAATTCACCACAAATTTTGCATAAAGTAAATGTACAGTTTCCATTTAACGTCTTTAAAAGTAACCCAGCTCTTCAGTGAGAAATTTTTTTGCCTAAACTTCTAAGTGCCGTACGTAAGAACCACGCATACCTCAAGGCCGAGTTTGAAATACTTAAGTCGTATTTGAAGAGGGAACATTCCCGTAAAACTTCAACTTTCTAGCTTTTCTGGTTCCTGAGTTAATAATTTTCTCGCGGAAACATCCATATGCCTTTAATTGAGTACCACGTATACCTCGGGGCTCAGTTTGAAATCTGTAGCTAACACATGCACAGGGAATATCCCTTCAAAGTTTCAGCGTCTCATCTTGTCTGGTCCCCGAGATCGCTTTCCCACCAAAAAATTTGCATACTTTTTTAAAGCATCCCTACGCAGCACCCAGGCGCCCGCGGGAGATGATATTAAAATGGGAGGGTCGCGAATGGTACGGGCACATAATCCGAAAGTTTCAGCCTTTTAGCTTTTTCCGTTCTCGAGTTGAAAGTGAGTGACAAAAAGTATAGACACACAGACACAAACAGTCACACACACAGACACAAACAGTCACACACACACACACACACACACACACACACACACACACACACGCACCGCTTCTTCCCAATATGCGTTTTTGCAATTTATATGCAAAAACGCATAAAAAGACCGTTAAATGGAAATTATCCACTTCCCTTTATGAAAAATTTACGATAATTTTGACTAGTGGGTGCCGAAGTATGTGTAAAACAGCAACTATTCATACAGCTCACGACATGATTGCTTCAAGCATAGTGCAAAAACGCATGATCGCGCCGGAAACTTTGAACGTTCCAGCCGAGGGTTTTCATCTTGGGACGGGACGACTCAATTGCGTCCAGCGTTTGAACTCATCCCAGTAATATCAAAGCCCTACACCGGCTGGCCAGAAAATTAGTTAGTTTCTTACCTTTTCCGACTTTTTACCACATCTTTACAACTAATTTTTTGAGGTCAATCTGAAAAACTGTTAAGACTGAGCGTCTTTTGGCTAAATTTTAAAGCTTTCACTAAATTTAACGTCATCTGACTTATTTTCTCATATTTTTTCCACTCAGCGGGAGCGGCACCGGTAAGCAGCGGACGTCTTCTGATCATGACAAAAACTATGCGCCAACGTATGGGTAAATGCTCACTGAAACGACATTTAGAAGCGCAGCATCCAGTGCATGATAGAGTTTCTTGTTAAACAGGAAAATACGCTCAATGCATCCAAACGTATTCGATATGTCGTCAACGGTCATTTCAAATTCATCACGATGATCCACAAGGAAATTTAGATACCCCTGAAAAAATCTTGCTTTTTAAATACACAACGTCTCACAGATTTTTGCTTTGTGAATAAGGTGGTAAGTGGCAGCATGTATCAAAGGGCTGAATCGCACATCTAGAAAAACTGCGCAAGGTTTTCAAAGAAATGGCGATGATGCCCAAAACAAAACTGTGAATAATTTTTCGCAGATATTTAGAAATCCTACATTTTTTTTTGAATTAGCGGTTTTTCAAAGGCTCGGTTCATCCCGATCGGCTGTGAGCAGAAGTCAACAGTTATAAGTCGCAAAATCCTGCGCGATTTTCTGAGTGAGTGTGCCAAAAGTACTCTTAAAAAATCATTCTCCTTTTTTTGGAAGAGTTACCAAAGTCCTTTTTAAACAGCCTCGAAGTCCCTCTTTATACGCTTTGCGCTGTGTAACGGCAGCACAAAAAATACTGTCACGGGGTTGCCTGTGTGTGCGGCCGGGTGCATTTTCTCCTGTATTTTCAACTCATGACCAACAAAATAAAATTTTAATAGAGTGTTCCCTGTCGACGTGGGCCCCGTAAATTTAAATTCAGACTTCCTGTGTCCGCGGGCAATACGCACGGTATCGCAAAAATTTTAACGGAAAAAATCATTATCTCAAAATTATTATTATTATTATTGTTATTATTATTATTATTATTATTATTATTATTATTATTAT